GGCAGGACCCGAGGGAGGGCGAGGCTCGAGGGGGGGGAAGCGAGGGAAAAGTGCAGCCGGGAGGAGAAGGCGGCAGAAGGTGGGGATTGATGCTTCTGTGTTTTGTTGCCGCTGCTGTCCTCGCGCTGGGAGCCGGGCCGGAGGGAAGGCGGTGGAGAGATGATTGCAGAGTTGGTGAGCAGCGTTCTGGGGCTCGCCTTGTATCTCAACACCCTGAGCGCGGATTTCTGCTACGACGACAGGTAAGGGGCGACGGCTCGCGTGGGAACCCCGCGGGGAGCGCCCCGCTCTAGGGCTCCGAGCGCTCGGGAGGGATGGTCCAGCACCTGAAGGTTCAGTGGCGCGCGGTCCTGAACACCTCAGGCGGTCGCCCGGGACCCGAGCGCGGGGCGGGCCCGGAGTTTGAGTTTGCCGCAGGTTCGTTGTCTTGCCTCTCGCCTGTTGGCAGGCGCTTAAGTTTCTTAGCGGAAATCCTGGCAATTTGAGGGAACTGTTTAATGAACGTAGAAGGGAGCGCAGAGGTAAGGGGAAAAAATGAGAATCAAGACTTGTCATGTAGAGGTACAAGATCCCAACAATGAATGTAACTGTACTGTATCCCTAAAATGTACCAATAAACTTAATTAAAGCTGAAAAAAAAAAGAAGAGAAACACAAAGGGAACTGTTTAATGAACGTAGAAGGGAGCGCAGAGGTAAGGGGAAAAAATGAGAATCAAGACTTGTCATGTAGAGGTACAAGATCCCAACAATGAATGTAACTGTACTGTATCCCTAAAATGTACCAATAAACTTAATTAAAGCTGAAAAAAAAAAGAAGAAAAACAGTCTTAGGTAATCCGTGGTGTTACAAAAACCCAGTAAGCGATTTTACGTCTGGTTTGGAAGGAAGCCGCACCCCGCCCCCTAACAGATCTTCCCGGTACCCTTTCCTTTTATTGATAGGACACTGTTAGTTCCCCAAGTTAAAGCGCAAGTTTTGACAGTTGCCAGAAAAGTGAAAAGAGAGATCCTTCTTTGCTTCAACTTTCCCTTTTGACGTGGACGGTACTTTGAGCCGAGATAACGCCGCCGAGGGTGGTAGATCCAACAGCCCATCCCCGCCCCCGGCAGCCTCCCTCGCCAATCGTTGGGGCTGCACTTTATAAAAGCTTCGGCTTTCATTTCTGTTTGGAAATTTTGCATTAGAAATTACAGATTCGCTTGTGCTAATTGGAGAAGAAGACGCCCTTAGGGACCGAAGTTGTCTTGTGCATTTGGGTTACTTTGGGTGGCTAATAATACTCCAACTCTGTTGTCGGAGAAACTGCGTTGATTCTTGGAAAATGTCACAGTTGTGCTGGTTTCTCTACCTATTTTTAAACGTTGTTAGTGTTTAGAAATTGTTGAAAAGCTCCTATAGCCATTAGGGAAAATTCCAATTTGTGCCTTTCCGGTGACTTTATCTGATTACAATTAAAACAGATGTGTAATTAAAATATATTAAGGAGAACAGCACGCCTGGCTAAACTTATTAACCGTCCTGGGGTGTTTCATGCGCCATTGAAATTAAACCATCCAAAAAGTGAGCACAGATTTACTTTGACAGCTTTTCAGCAGCCTCTCTGGGTTATGGAAAGGGAATGGGTCCCCAGGGTGAGGGTGAGGCAGGGCGTGAACTTAAGAAAAGTGTTTGTAGTGAGTGGGGGGGTGAAGGCTGACTCCTCTCCTGGTGCTAATTAGCCATATCCTGTATTCTCTGGTGTGTGCCCAGTCTTCTGCTAAAAGTGCTCATGGATGTAAGCCTTAAATCAGCAAATCTTGGTTCACACCCATGTGTCTGTAATGAAATCACCTGATAATAGGTGCAGAAATAGCCTACAAATCCTTCTTAATGCATTTCATGTAGTGTCTGTCATAGCTTAGTTGATAGGAAGGCACAGTAGGCATAAACTTTTCCTCAACTTTCAGTTTACTGATTTTAGCAGTTACACTGCATGCTCTGAGACATGTAAGAGTGAGGTTACCTGAGCTACTTTCCTTTCTTCTAGTTCTGTGCGATGGTGCATCTGCTAATTCTAGGATATTGATGGAAAAAGCCTTTGTTTCCAAAGATGGATGGCTTTTCACTAAAAGGGAGAGAAAGGGAGGGAGGGAGGAAGGGAGAGAGGGAGAGAGAGAGAGAAAGAGAGAGAGAGAACAGTCACTGGCTGTGTTGGGGGCAGTTTGAGGAAAATTTAGACCAAGAATATAAAGCTGATTAAAAAAATGTAATACTGTCACGATTTTAGAAGACTACGATAAATCAAGCATTCCTATTGTATACTATTCTTAATTGTTGCCCAGTTCCTAAAGAGGTCATGTCAGGAGAAAATATTGTTTGAAAATTAAGGGTAAAAATTGTGCATTTTTCTGTAATTCAGATGCTTAGTCTGTACCCCTGAGTCGTATATCAGAAATGTTAGGACTTTGTGACTTTGGGAGAATGGTGAGAGTGTGATGATAAATGAGTTGTGCTTTGATGGTTCCCAATTGTCACAAGTTCTTCACATGCTATAGGTCAAATTGAGTGTTAAAATCCCTGACTTCTATTTTCGAGCTACAAAAGATGAATTTAGTGTCATGATATTCCCATATCGTATGCTTGATAGCATATGATATATAGACCTTATTGTGTGCATGTTCTCTCTCTCTCTCTCTCTCTCTCTCTCTGTATATATATATATATATATATATATATATACACACACACACACACACACACACACACACACACATTTATGGCTAAAATAGGAATCATACTTCACTACAATTTAAAAAGTATATTCTTTCTTAGCAGAACTGCCTAGGCAAACACAGGCTTTTAAATATGTGAAGTCTTCAGAGTAGCAATCTTTATTTTTACATATCCCAGGAATTATTGTTATGCACAGCATGTTACAATGATTCATTGCCAAGGTGCACTGTAAATTGTGACTCCCATATTTTCTCTCCAAGTACTGGAACTCACTGGTGAGTGAATAGTAAAGAGCACTGGGGAGCCCAGTGGGAACTGTAGGATGCTGATAATTGTTTATTTCCACAACTCCATTTCAGACTGGAAAATTTCATGTTTAATGCATTGCTTAGGTCGCATCTGTGGATTCTTCTGCCCCTCAGGAACTTTTGAAAAATTCAGTTCTGAAAGAAAAGGCCAAGGCTGCAGACAAAGAGTAGTGCTCAAGGAGGGGGATGCCTCTGGAGCCTGACTTGCCTGACTAAATCAGCACCCTGCATTTGACCATGAATAGTCTGGCATTGACATCAGGAGGGCCTCGATTGCTTTAGCTTAGCCATTATTGCTGTGGTACTTCTCAGAGTTATCATTGCTTTTAAATACAGTGATCAACTTGACTTTATAAACTGTATAATTGCTTTCAATGTTTGATGGAGCTTGGTTGAAATTAAGTGGTAACATGAAACTTTCTTAAAGCAACATCAGTCTCCTTATGGTAAAATTGAGTATTTTACACGTGTTTCTGTGCTGACCCTAAGATTTGTATGATGTGTGGAAACAAACGGTGGAAGAGTAGAATCCACAGTATCAGATGATAAACACACTCTAGTCCCCCTTCCCTTGCCTTCAGTATAGGGTAATGACCATTGAATCTGAAGTGGTGGTTAGAGGAACATTGGAATTTTAAATATGCAATCTTTGCCAAATTTTATGTCATGCTGTATGTGACTCCTTGAAAGAGTTGCTCTTGTTTTCTAGAGAAATTTGGTGTTTAGGTCAGTGGAAAAAAACCTGCTGACCCCAGTTCTCTGCTTTCTTATATGTTTGGTAAGGAAGACATAGTGTCATTTTTCCCTTCTCATTTTTTAATAATGCCGCTGTAAGTTTCTCATGGCGATAACACTGAGAAGAGTATTTACAAAGGTAAATACCAAATGTTTTGAAGTCCGATTTCATTTTGCTTGTATTATCTAATTGATTAATGACATGCCCTTTTATGACATACAACAAATGAATAAGGTAATCTAATTTCTGCATATTTTGAATTCTCATGTGAGTGAAATAATTCACTAAAGAAAATGTATTTATAGAAGATATTTGAAGATATTTTTTCCTTATTGTCCATTTGGATTTAGTAAACCCAGCCATGATCATTAACATTGCTTATAGGCCTCTTAGCTATTCTGTACAGTAATGTGTGTAAAGCTTGGAGAAACAATTTCACAGCAGAAATTTTCACTCTAATGGAAAAGTACTTGGTGCAGGACTGAGTTCCCAGTGCTCTGGGAGGCTGAGGCAAGAGGATCACAAGTTCCAGGCTAGCGGGCAATTTAAAAAAATAAATAGGGATGGTGAGTTTTTCAGTGTGAAGGTCCTGAGTTCAATCTCCACTATCAAAAAATAAAACACCTAAAACTCTTAATAGTACATTCCTAGTTTAGTTTTTTTAGTTTGGATGTGAATGTAATTCTTAATTTTTATAGGAACACTAGTTAAGATTTTCTCTATAATGATTTTAACTGGCATTATTTTAAAGAAGGAATTGAAGATTTAAGGCATATTAATAAAAATCAACTTTTTTTCCCTGTAAAAAATAACTGAACTACTCCTGTTTGGTCTTTTCATGTTAATTGTTAATTTGGGTTTTAGACCTGATATGATAAGAATCCCTCCTGAGATGATCAATCACTCTGCTAATTTCTGTCTGAAAGCTTCTCCCCAATGCATTTACCTTAGACTAATCTGGAATTGGTATCTTAAAATTCCAGTACATTGATGGCATGCCTGGTATTTAGTAAATGCAGATATATATAGAAAGACTTGCTAAGAAGTTAAATGGAGGCATTGCCTTGTATCAAATCTTATCAAGTCATTATTAGAAGAAGAAGGCTAAGTGTACAGGAATGTTATTTTACCATTTATTTTCCTTTCCAATTTATAAAACTGAAAAAAATGGAGAGGGGAACAATTTATGAACTATTTTATTTGTGCTCCTCCTCCCCCCATGTGTTGTTTAAATGAATCTCTTTGCAAATGGTTCATTTTGCTCTTCTGACCAAATGTATCTCTTATTGGAAAATTAAAATTGCAAAGTGAAATCATTATGGACTGCTTTGCTTTGCCTCCATTGATCCTGTCACATGGTGTTTATTGTAGCGGATGACCCACATACAAGACTAGATAGACATGGAGAAATGCTAAAGGGAAAATCACTTGCCAGCCATCTGTCTCTTGTTTGTTTTCATACAGACACACACACACACACACAC